TCATACCTAGTAGCAATATTTCTCTGGGCTGGACTAGATCTCAAAGACAGTGTTTTCCAAATGCTGGTCTGTGAAGCACTGCAACAATTTCTGTGCTCTGGAGGAAAAAAAAACCTAAGTACAGAGTAGTAACTTTCTCATAAGGCAAAGTATATTCAAATTAAAGTACGGTCCTTGATTTGAAATCAGGTTCTTACTATGTCCTTGTTAACATTTCAGTTATGAAATGATGATGGTGAAGTACATGATGAAAGTTCTCCTTTGCTTATTTGATGTTCTTAGCAGAACAAGAATTGCTTACTTTCTATCCTTCCAGAACCTTTTTGAATTGTTACAGGGTTATGATATATCATAAGGGGAACCACAACTTCAAGTTAAAATGTTCAGGATATTCTGTATTTCCATAGTGCTATACAGTTAAGCATTTTCACATGAATTATCTCAGTGTTCAACAGTCTGCGAGACAATCTTATTTCCCACAGACTGAAAAATAGAATTCAGGAAGGCTGGTCAAGATTATAAAAGAAGAGCCAGATTCTAATCCATGTCCTTTGACTTTAAATCCTGTCTGCTTTTCAACCTATAAGTGGTTCATAAATCTAGTCAAACAAAGGATCATAAGGAGAGTGTTCTATATACAGAAAACTAATAAATCTGAGTTTCTGGGGGATGAGAACTAAGAGTTGGATCTTTTAAGAGCTCTCCAAGTGATTCTGGCATGCAGCCTAGTTTGGGAACCATTGGTGAACATTGGATGGTTCCTGTCCACCTAGCTTTATAAGAGGAGCAGGAGCTTTAGAGTCAGACAGAACGTGATGCCTCTGGGCTAGTGCTATAGCGGAGTCTTAGTTCTTTATCTGTGAAATGAAGATGCTGCCTAATATGTAGAGTTGTAAATACAGTTGACCCTGGACAATTCAAACTTTAGAGGTATTCAAACCCTGTGCTGTTGAAAATCCACGTGTAACATTTGACTCTCCAAAAACGTAACTACTTAGAGCCTACTCTTGACTAGAAGCCTTACCAATAATATAAAGTTGATTAACAAATATTTCGTGTGTTATATGTATTATGTACTGTATCCCTATAATAAAGTAAGCTAAGGAAAAGGAAATGTTAAAAAATCATAAGGAAAATCCCTTTTCAGTGCTGTACTGCATTTATCAATATAGTAAGTTTATGTCACCTGTTTATAAGATGAAACGTCTACAACAATATTGCCTTACTGACACAAAACACTGTAGGTGATGTAGGTATTACTAACACTCAACATCAAAAATGAAGAGATATTGTATAATTTGTGTTTGTGTGTATAAGTTTTGATAAATTTTAACTTTTATAATAGATTTGTGCCTTAGGTAAGTGATAAAATAGACTTCATTTACAAATATTTCATGCATTCAGGACATAACATTTTCTTAATTTTTTTTATATTTCTAGGCCACCTAATTTATCTGTGAGTTTTTTCAAATGGTTGCAAATCTCCAAAATTTTTCTAATGTATTTATTAGAAAATCCATGTATAAATGGACTCACAGAGTTTGAACCCATGCTGTTTGAGGGTCAATTATATTAGAAAAAAATAGACATAAAATGCCTAGATGTGGTAGTCACTCAAAAATAGAACCTATTTTATGATTAGTATTACCACTACTACTAGAGTGAGTATACTGCCTAATAGGTTGCTCTAGTATTACTAAGAATAAGATATTATAAATGCTGATTCTAGAATTTTCCTAATGCAAATAACACAACAAAGACAGGCAACCCACTCAATCATGACCTTGGGACAGTTTCCAGTCTCAGTTTCCTTCTCTATGGATTGCTAAGGTATCTCCTGGCTCTAAAGGGCAAGGACTCCACAGTTGTACTTAATAGTTTAATAGTTAAAGGGCAGGTTGAGGAAGTGGTTCTTGAGTATTAAACAATATAACTGAAGTAATTAGTACTTATAAATGACAAGTCTCTGTTGTTATACAGTCATTTGCTATCAAAGCAAGGCTCTGTCCAAAGGTAGACATTAGCTTCCTTAGAGTTTATAATTTATATCTGTCCAGCATCAAAAATATTTGAAACAGCTTGCCAAAAAAGTTATTTTAAGGCAAAAACATAGCCAGAGAAAGTGCTAAGAATCCCCCAACAAATGTGATAGAAATGGAAGAGAAGGGGAAATAGAGCAGAGAAGATGATTTTTTTTTTTCAGGAAACCAGGAGAAGCTGTTCAATGTGAAAAACTTCACACTTAAGTTAGCATTGAGATTTGTGACATTTTCAAAAATTAGGAAAATATAGCCTTTTCTTAATGTTTCTTATCAAAGACTGAAAATATCAAGACACCAATACATAGGTACAAGCTAAATAAAGGAATTTTTTCTAAGTAGAATAGAATGCATGTATTTAAATAGTAATGAGTGCTTTTCTTATCATGGCTAACTTTATTCTTGTCCTTTGAAAAATGTATACATTGCATTTAAATATTCCATCTTTATTTCTCTATCATCTTGCTATCATTTGTCCCTTCCTTTTCTTTTTATAAAACTGAAGAAGGCTTTAATCATGAAAATACAGGCTTATCACAGTAATGGTAGCAAGGATCCAGAATTATATCCGTTACAAATTCATATTAAGTTGTAGATTTTGATCCTTTGAGCAAGATTAATTTGATTTATTGCTCTCTACCCTCTGTCCTAGCTTTGATCAAAATGAAAACTCCTTCCTGGTTTTAGGCTTAGTTTTCTTACTACTTCCTTGCTGTCACTGCCCTAACCCAGACTCATACTTTGCCTCACCTTGGCTGCTCTACAGGTCTCCTTTCAGCTGGAGTCCTTGGCTTAAGGACCTTGTACTTCAAAGTCCTACAACTGTAGCTATATTAATCTTTCTAAAGCAGAGCTATGATTATGTCTCTTCTCCTCTAAAACACTTTCTTGGCCACCTACTATTCGCCATAGTCATGTCTGCCATTCAAGCATCCATGATTTTCTCCCAAACTACCTCTCTGTCTTCTTACTGCATTCTGGGGGTGGGAGGCCCCTGATCTCTAGCCAAACTGTGTGTTAGTGCCCAAATGCAACCTGTGTTATTTCATCTCCTGTACCATGCTATTGCTTTCAGATTCTTTCAGATACTCTCTAATTTACATTTATCACCCCACCCCAAATCTAACAAGTCAGACTCATAAGAATTGAAGTAAAGGAGGTTTGCTTATACTTGTAACCAAATGTCCAGCACTAGTACTCCATATTTACTTATATAAAATTCATTCTTTCACTTCTGAGATACGATTCCCTCTCAGTTGCCAACATATATGAAGCCAGCTGGCAGGATTAGTCTAGGAAAGAACGAGGCCACGTTGGACTCCCATGCCACAGAAATAAATGAAACCTAATTTTCTGACCTGTCTTGTTTATTTTGGTCCATTCATCAGTGTAATAGAATACAAACAGCTTTGGAGACCAGAAATTTAGTCCCATTTCAAGTTCAATCATGTAACTTTCAGAAAACCATGGAATTACTCTGTTTTTTTTTTTTTCATTTATAAAATGGAAATCTGTCTGGCTTTACTCCAATAGTAAACACACATAAAGTATTATTATTATCTTATTTGCCATTCCCTACAACACAGCCTCTTTTTTATATGCATTTGCTTTACAATTCTCTATTATTCCCAAAGCTTTTACAGATTTCATAATTCCATTTTGATACCACTGAAAATCCCAGAGAAGGAAGCAAGCACCCAATATCACAAGCAATATTCAAATATATGGCTTTTTAGGATGTTGAATAGATAATATCTTAGGCTTTTCCTATATCTAAAATAGTAAGATTCTATATTCATATTTGTATCTGAAATTTACATATCTCTTGCATATAAAGTAATCTGCAGAGATGTATACAACATTTCTATCCTCCTATCTGAGAAGTGCTTGGACATGCCACAATTTCCCTGTCTCATGATTTTAGATTTTATGAAGGTTTAGCATGTCTGTCTCATCTCTCATATACAGAAAATCATGCAGGACACCTCAAATTTCTTGTAGTAATTCACATTACAGTTATTCCTTTTATATATGAATATAGGTTTAGGTTTTAAACAAACGTGGATTTGAAACAACAAATTACTGAAATATATTTTATGTTTTTTCTTTTATTGCTAGCTATTAGAGATTCTGGGGAGAGAAAAATTTCAACCAGTATTTTTTGGGAGAGGCCAAGATCCTCAAAATGTGTACTTAGTGAAATAAAAAAGTATATGGTCAAGTATAGCACATAGGAAATTATAGCAACTGCTTGCTCCAAAAACTAGGCTAGTCATCCTAATCCAGAGTCGATTTTAATATAAAGCTGGCAAATACATCATATACACTAACTCTCTCTTTTTACTAACCCCCTACCTAACTGATAAATTGACACCAGAAATCAAACGTCTTCATTATCCCTATTTTAAAGACTTGCCTGGATGAAATCTGACCTTAACTCACACTGCCATGCCTTTCATTAGTTTGCTCAAGCTTTCAACAAAATCAGAGTTACAATAATGAAGAAATAAGTTTGCCCAGAGTTAACTTGGAGATTTTAGAGTAAATCTTACCCAAGTGATTCAGCAACTCTAAGTAAATGAAAATTGATGCCTCCAATTTCACACAGACACACACATACACCCCACAGGCACATACAAATACATTTCAGTGACAACCAAGGTAGAAGTAATTTCAGAGTCTAATACAAAACTGACACACATACTCAAGAACTTTTAGCCTTTCATATTCAGCTGAGACTCAAAGAATGAAAAAACAATTCTAGCCCTCTTTTCCTTAACACAAACTACAACATTTGTAGTTTCAACTGAAAGTAAACCTCAATTTTCAAATCTATCATCCTTTATAAATTCTAGAAAAAGTAAAGCTGGATGATTGAGATAGCAGGACTATCCAAAAGCTATTTACTCAAAGACACTAGGACCCTCTGGAAAAATAGAATGGAAAGAAGTCAGCACTTACTTGGCACAAACCACTGATGCACATATCCAAAGATTCTGTGTAGCAACGAGTCCCATCTAAGACTTTAGGTGCTAGTTCAACAACCAAGGTTGTTCCTTTGGCTTGGCATTTGAGTGAACATGGGTTGTCAGGGTCATTAGACACAGGAAGCCATTCATAAAACTGGCCATGGTGCTTGACATCATTGTGAGCTGAACATTGCTGAGCTCGGAAATCGCCTGCTTCTGGTGGGCAGTCCTGGAAAAGAAAGGAAGGAGGCACATACAGGTTAAGAGGGTAGCCCAAACAGAAAACTGGAGCAGCTATGTGGTTTGTCAAAATCTTAGACAACAAAACAAATGTCCTGATTGTTACAGATAGACACTCCCATAACATCTGAGAATCAATCATATGATTCTTTGGCCGTGAAAAGTCTAAAGATTTGAGAAAGTAATCACCTTGAAATATATTTTTGGATTCAAATAAATGGAAAAGTCATCAACTTGAGATCGATCTAATTGATATTACTTGGGAAAGTTGTCAGCTTGAAATATATTTTCTGAAAGATGTTGAATGATCCATGGATCCTTCTACAATGAAATACGATTTTGATTTCCGTGTAACTTAAGTAGAACTTACTGAAGCCAGAGGGTTAGTTGAAAAACATGCCTGTTGCTTTCAGTTCTAATAATGAAACCTATGACAATACTATAGCAACTCGCAGCATAAAGTTATGATAATTTCATTCAAACATTTTTGTAGGACTGTTTGTACAAAACTTTGCACAGCATCTAGAATTAAATATGGGGGGACAAAAAAGAGAAAAGAGCATTTATATCTTAATTTCTTTTGCAACACAGCAGAGCAGAAAGGTTTGGACTTCTCAGATGGGAGCAAGGCTGTGATAGAGGGGTCTCTCTGAGACTAGGTTTCCTTTTGTGCAGATGAGAGGTAATAATACTACTCAGCCCTCAAGGTCACTGTGAGAATTTCCTGGGCTTATGTCAGCTAAATACTGGCATAATGAAGACAGTACATGGTAGCTATTACTATGATTATTCAATGAAGCCACTGAAGAGAAAAAGCTGGAGAATTATGAGATCCTCTGAATTTAAATTTTAAATCACATTGGCAGAGACCAGTGGAAAATAAAAATGTTTTAAATGTATATTTTATAAAGGGCATTTTAAAATTAAAACTATAATTCATGATGGCTATTATCTAAAACACGATACATTTTAGTGAAAGCAAATGATACTCAACTTTAAAAAGGCAAGCATCACCTATCCCTCGAAAAGGCTTTTGGATACATTTATTTCATTCTCCACGTGTTCAGATTAGGAATTACTATAGGATATTATAGAATATCTATTTATTGGGACACCTGGATGCCTCAGTCATTTAAGCATTTGCCTTCAGCTCAAGTCATGACCAAGGGTCCTGGGATTGAGCCCCACATAGGGCTCCTTGCTCAGTGGGGAGCCTGCTTCTCCCTCTGCCTCTGCCCCTCCTCCTGCTGGTGCTTTCTCTCTCTCTCTCTCTCTCTCAGATAAATAAATAAAATCTTTTTAAAAAAGAATCCATGTGTTGAAAGGTTTTAACTATAATTTTGAAAAATCTCAAATAGAGGCTTGGATGTGGCCTTTAGCATGTCTTGGTTACTACATCATAATTTTTGAGGGTTCTACATAGAATAAGGTTTCTCTCTCTGAAAACCTCTTTACATTTAAAGAAGCATTGTGAGGATAGTATTACTCTATTTCATAAAATGGAATTCCTGACTTTTTTCCCTCAAACTTTAGTGGTACCATTAAGTAGCATATAAGATTTTAATATTTGGAGCAGCATAAATTCTTTCTAGGCAAGATGGTGGATAAGCACTTAAACACTTACTTAAGATGAACATAAAATAGCTTAAAATATAATATAACATCTCAAAGGTAGTTTACTGCTAGTATCATATATGTTCTTGGAGTGAATGAAAACATAGTATTAAAGAAAAAATAATTTATAAATATAATACCCATCACTACCCAATGAGGCTTAAGTGATTTCAAATATTGCCTGAGAAAAGTGTAATTAAAATTCATTACTTATTAATTTTGTAAATGATAGGCAACAGTTTAAAAATTTTAAAGATCAATCAATAAGCATGTGTTATACTTTGTCTCTTGTAATAATTAGTTATTCATCATGAGAAATAAAACAAAAACCACACCCTACAAAACTATGTTATGAATCACACAACAGGTTACTTGTATGTTGGTAACACAGATTCTCTGAACTTAAATGTTTTAATGCTAGCTCCTTTCAGACCATGTGTTCCAAAATAAGAGTGAAGACAGATTTTTAACAGTCACCTGTCACAGGCTCACATTAAAAACAAGACCACAACTTGTTTACAAATCCTACCAGTCTCTGCTTAGACCTCACTTACTTACTTCTGTCTTGAAATAAACCTATGAATGAACATTGTCCGCCAGTCTACACATTCTCTTCCTAAAGTTCCCCCATTTGAGCTACAACAGAGACTGTTAAAATAACCTGCTATCTATGATCAGCATGTTTCCCTGGTGGCCGCTGTATGTGAGCTCCCAGAGCAGAACTGATAGGTTAGTTAATAATGTTTATTTTTTGTTTGTTTTTGAAGGAGAGAAAACAAGGAAGAGAGAGAGAGAGAGAACATGAGTGGGGGAGGCAGGGCAGAGGGAGAAGGAGAGAGGGAATCTCAAGCAGACTCCCCCATGAGTGCAGAATCTGACAGGGGACTTGATCTCAGGGGACCTGAGCCAAATTCAAGCGTTGGATGCTCAATCAACTGAGGCGCTCCATATTAATGATGCTGAAGTGCATCATACCTGTCATCCCAAGAATCACCTGATTTCTCAGTAATACAAAAGAAAGCAGAAAGTTGGGGTAAGTTGTTTAGAATGGTCACCAACCCCTCTCATAATTAACCTTTTCCTCCCTTTTCTAGAAATGAAAGTGAATCAGCTGTAAGGGAATTACAGGGTCAGGCTGAATGACCTCTGCATTAAAGTCATGAGAGTAGTATATAATTAAGAGACCTCTTAGTATGAACCAGAGATCATTTTCTGCATTTATCCAATTCTGAGAGGAGTGTCAGTTATATTTTTAAATTGATGTTACATAGTCTTAGTACAGACATAAAACTGCAGAACCTCTTAGAGTCCCTTCTATTCAACCAAATGTGTTGAGTCTTCCCATCTTTACTAAAATAAATAAGGCTCAAAGGCACTCAAAGGTAAAATAAGTAAAAAGTTAAAATAGTAACACTTTTAGGTTTTTTTCTTCTGTGACACAGTCAACAGAGAATCAAGGAGCAGACTGATGGTCCTGTTCTCAACCCACCTGTAGCTAACAGCTGCAAGAGTACCTTTTATAGATATTATAAACTTTCACAACTGGAGAAATGTCTCTAAGAAAAATAAATGCTCGGGAATACCTTTATTCATTTTTATCATCACTGTCTTCTCTTCCATCCATATTTTTGTAGAGGTGGGAAAAATACATTTTGCTAAATTGAGAATGTACTTAAAACCTGGCGTTCAGAGTTGGAAACTGAACTTGAACCTTTTTAATGTTTTAGTTTATTTGTACTTGGCAAAATGCAACTTCCTGTTTTAAGAAAAAGGACTTAAGAGGACTTATAAAACAGGTTCAGAAAGCTTCTTGGACATCAAATAGCTCTTACAAAATAACATTTTGATGATTTAAGTGTAAATGAATCAGAAACATATGAATCAAATTTCCCTTGAAATACACATGTTTAAAAATTAAGGGAAGAAGGATTTGGCAAAAGCTTCTTTGTTGAACCCAAAACATCTCAAGCATAGTTCAAGACCCTCATTGAACCCCTGATACATCTGGGATCACCCAGCTGCAGGAATGGAAACTCAAGCACAGTCATCACAGCTTCTTGTCCCGCCAGTATGATCATAATAATTGCAACAGAACAGCTCTCATTTGTATAGAGATCCACCGTGTACAAAATTTTTAGTTTTTAATTATAATTTGGTTCAAGAGACCACCATCCTTCCTAATATTCTTAGAAATCAGATTTAGAAACTGATGTCCTAATTGCTTTGGAAAATATTTAATGTCTTATCCTGGGCATCCTCCTTGAAATATTAGCTTCTGGAAATATGCTTTATGATACCATAGGTCATCAGTGCTGCCCATGAGATGTGGTTTTCCTTAGGTTGTCCTGAATGTAGCATGTATTGGATATATGCAATGTGATTTTGTATATATAAAGCCTTAGTAGTAGAAATCATGAATTTTCAATGGGGATAATTAAAACAAAGAAGAAAACAAATCAATTACTTATATATTTATGTACTGAACCTGGCTTATAGATAGTAATGACACAAACAATGAAAATTACCAAAAATTCTAGTGGCTAACTGAACAAAACACATGCCCCTGGCAAAACACAAGAACCTGGCAAAAAACATGGTGTGAGAAGGATGCACTGGATTAAAGATCCTTCCCTTCCAGCCTCTCTTATGTCTCTAGAAATACCATATAGTAGAAATGGAGGAAGAAAGAGCAATCGAACACTTTCCCTGGCCTTCTGTCTATTTCCAATTAACTGTTGTATGCTTGTGGATTGACAAATGTGTGTCAGGTTCCTGAGTTAGGACTTCCTCACTCTGAAAAAAATATATTTTATTTTAAATAGTCAGATGATCCCATGAGTTACTGTATTTAGCCACTAATACAATATAATAGTTTTCCAATTTTTAAGCAGTCACTCTGAACCATAGCAGAATTTTCTCCTTTAAAAGCACAGAAATATAGTCTGACCTTTTATTTGCTCCCATTATAATTCATAAAGTCCGTGGAGTTCTGCCATAGATGAATCCAATTCAAAACACTTTCTGGTTAATCAACTAGCCAGTCGGAAAGATAAGATGGATCCCAGATGTCCCCTGATGATGATAGGTGGATCAGATTACATTGTGGGATGAAAGAGAGTTAGGCTTTCCAGAGTTTACTCACTGGGTGAAATGTAAAAGATTCTATCTCAGCAGTTAAGGTGGGAGCGTCTGAAAGGCCTTTAAAATGGTTTTTGAAAAAATATACAGAAGATAGATTCAGTGTCAGGAGAAGCATGACTTTTTCTGTATTTTCTTTCTTTTTAAAGAAGACATTTTCTTTCCAGAGGGACATGTCTCTGCTTTACCTCTGTCCTTCATTGGTTGGCCTTCTCTGCTAATTTTTGCTGTTTCAGT